ACTTAAATATTATAGTGTAGGTACCTTACAAATTATTTGGGAAATATATGATACACGAATATAATAATAGTGTTTAATTGTTTATTTATTAGGACCGCCAAAGAAAGTTCCATTAAATCTTATTTTTAAACATCATACAAAATGCAAAATTATATTGAAGGTAGCCACATCCTGCTTAAGAGACAGTACGAACGAACGGACAGCATTTTAATTAAAAACAAACAAATAGACGATCTGAAACAACATATTATAAATAATGAATTTGGCATTTCTCGTAATGAATCCTAGAGTTTTTGAGGCTCGAGCAATAATGTTATGTATATGTGTAATAAATGTTAGTTTACAATCTATTATAACACCCAGATCTCGAATAGTATTTACCTCCTGTAATATAGTATCATTTATTTTATATTGTGACTTAAAATTGTGACACTCACGTGATAATTTTATATGGTAAAATGTATTAATATTGAGAGACATTTCATTTTGCTTGCACCATTCTCAGTAGTATTTGCGTCCTCATCATAGTGAATAACTTTTATTAGATATATATCATCTGCATACAGAAAAACATCACTGTGCTTAATAAAAACTACAACGTCATTCATGAAAACATTGAAGAACAATAGTCCTATGTGAGAACCCTGAGGTATACCTGATCTGGATAAATATTGATCGGAACGGAAACCCTTCGCGCGCACTACGCATTGAGATCGATTAGTTAAATATGTGTGCAACTACACCAATAAAGATCAATCAATGCAGCACATCGTTTACCCATTATCAACAGAGAAATGTGTTCAAGAATGTTTGTGGATTTTGTATTTATTTCCCAATCTAAGTTTACGTGTTCGTCGTGCAAATGCCTCTAGAAAGGTACTCAGGAGCATTTTAGTTTTGGTAGGAGGATGTTGTTGCACCAACCGTTGGTAAAATTAAATCTAAAATCATATTCAGATAACTAGATAGAAATTAATGCTATTGAAAGAATTCAACACAAATTTGTAAAGTACTTAGAAAACAGAATTAATGTTAACTTAATTATTAATGATTGTGAAACAAAGTTACACCCTTGCAACATCGCAGAACTGTTAGAGATCAATTATTTCTTTATAAACTTATTAATGACCTTGTAGATTCGCCATTCCTTTTGCAGAGGATTGGTTTTCGTTGCCCTAATAGAACTAGGTCTGACAACACGTTTGTAATACAATTCAGCAGGACCAAGTTTGCTGCAAATAGTTTCATTTTTAGAGCATGTCACAGCTATAATAAATACTTCAGGGGATTGGATATATTTTGCCTTTCTTACAATCAATTTAGAAATGAATGCTATAAGGTCGTTTTACCCTAACACTCAGTAATTATTTTCTTACCATAAATTTTGATTATCATGTTTATTCTATTCACATAACTCTAAATATCCACGTAACTTTAAGTCAATTATGTAAGTGTATGAATGTTTCAGTCTGTGGAAACTTAACTGGTTTGTGGAAAAGTAATAAGTGTTACTTAATTGAATTGTGTAAAACTGTATCTTTCCCAAATGAAAATAAATAAATAACACTATGAGACGTGAGCAGTATAATACTTTGTACTTACTAGGAGCTAAGAAGTTTCCATTTCATATAATTGCATCAAATACCAGGCGAGCATAACGACGAACAAACAATTACAACGTATACTCCAACTCTGTCTATGGACAGTACCAATGCTACGCGCCAGTGATTATACAGTGTGATTTTTTTTGAGATCTGTTCATTTAGATTATCTTATATGTAATATTTTTTTTATATCTCAGGAAAAATGTGCTACAAAAATTCCGCTCCGTCCAAACATCGGACAAGATAGATCAGATTGAACCAATAGACTTTCTTCTCATCTGTTTTTTTAGATTTATAAAATTTAGATAGTTTTATGTTATAATAACAAAATAATCTGAAAATCTTGTTATACATTTTTATAATCTTTGAATTGATGTTAGTTATTATTTGCTGATAACAGAATTATAGGTTTAAAAAGGAATCAGTGTATACTTACGTGTATGTGAGGTGAGCAATGCAACAATAAAACAAAATAGTTTTTTTTAGGTTTTAATGTTTTTTACACAATTCGTAGCATTCATAATGCCGACACAGTTTCGTCAGTTTCTTGTCATCGTCTTGCCAGCGTGTAGTTGTTACTATATATTTTTATATTATATAAACCAGTTCACTATTAATGTATATTTTATATTTATCGTAATATGTACCTTGCCGAAATTATACAATACAAATATATAATTAACTTTGTCTCGAACCGTTCAATAATTGAAATATTTCGCTGACAGACGCCCAATGTCCATTTTTAGTAGCTATATTTACAATAACTTGATGACTTTCAAATCATTATATATAATGTACATATACATATATAATAAAGAGAAAAATCAAAATAAAATTCTTTAATTAATACATTAATACCTAACAACTACTATTTAAGATTTTTCTCTCAATAAAAATATATTACACGCATTGCAAATAACAATAATAAAAAGGGAAATATCAACAAAGTCTGGCTGCACAGGAAATCATAAGGTTTAACTCGAAATTATTGAACTTCTTAATACTGAGAATTCACTGGAAAAAATAAAATTTTTGAAACGCAGAAGTCAAAGAAAATTTACATAAATTCGGAGAATAAGTATATTTACAAAAGATAACAAACTTTCTATAGTCAGACACTAAATATTGGTGCGTTTTTGCCATTGTGGCAACACTCGTGACGCCATTTTGATTTATAATATTAAATGGCGTCGTTTGAAATTTTGGCGCGAACTGTGGCCTCCGCGGGAAAAACGCACCATGAGTGATTCACAAGACAATAGGGGTGTTTTATTTAGCCTAGTATAAAGCTTGTTTTCGGATGACCTTCCGCTACCGTAGTTAACCGTAGCAAGGACCATTTCGACAATTTATAGCTCCCTTTCGTATACATGTCATAAGGCTGTAATGCGATGCATTACCTTTAACGTATGCTCATGATTAAGTATTTAGAATTATTGAGTTAGTTCCGTGGTTCGGTTTTTGATAACTTAGTTCTTTTATTTGTTTCTCAAGTTTTAAATGAAACACGCTTAAACGGTTTCAATGTGTGTCTTTTTATTACTTATTTTACGTTTCGCATCCTTTTCCGTTTCAGACAGATCCGTTTCAGACTGCGTCACGGCGAATTATAATTCTGACAAACGCCGTTAAAGCGTGTTTCATTTAACTAGTTCTTTTATTCAGGGACTTTTTTTAGTTCCAATAATGCAAACTTAACAATATGCACTTGACGTTATAATTGATATCTTTTTTAAGTTATTAACTAAAGTATTACGACGGACGCCATTTTCTAGACTTGTTTTTAAAATTTGCATTATTGGGGCTAAAAATAGTCTTACATAATGACAATTCAATCTAAATAAGACATATTCTAATTTATTATTAGTTCAAAATCCTAAGCAGTTTTCATGCAGATTCTTATTAAGTTGTACAGATGTTTACTTTACCACCACGGAACATTACTTGTAATCTAAGAAAGCTCACGATACCATATCAGTCACAAAAGTTACAAGATTTAAAGTTCTATTAAAAAACTGTCTGAGTGCAAAATAAAAGACCACAGATGAAAACGTGTATTCTCATGGAAATGTTTTTCTGTTTTTCGTAATTCGTTCCGTTTTAAACACACCTTAACCCCCTTATTAATAAAGGAAGAATAAGCTTGGATTAGTTAATCCTCGTTTATTAATAATGAGGTTAAAGTCCACGTTTTCAATCAGTGGTCTTTCAGAGGGAAATCTCAACATCGCATTGTATTTATCAGAAAGAGATCAATGTGAGATAAAAACAGTAATTATCTCAACATAAAAAAATCTCTGATTTCTCATTTAGTGAGATTTCCACTTCGCACAATAGAGAACAATTAATATTCATGGTCTCCTGGTAACAAAGGCATTCGATGTCAGGTATTCTTCACAAGACAAAAAATATACCTAAAAATCTCATTTTTTTTCAACATTGTAAAATATCATTTTCGTCATTTCGTATACATCGGTTTCAAATTGTGCTACATTGTTGAACACGAAGGCAAGTGAGAAATAATGATATTAGGGTCACAATACCATTTAAATATTAATAAATATATAATATATCATATATATATATATATCGAAGATATGTATTTTAAACCTGTAACGCAAAATATTCACGAAACTACGGACTGTTAAGAAATGAGGCTTAAGAAATTGACGTCCACTTAGAAGTACGTTTTGAGCTCGATTTTTATAAATATATGTTGGTAGGTAACATACAAAACGCTCGGAATATAATGTACAAATATCATGGTCATACTATATGCTGGTGATTCATATAATCGCGATGCCAACGGCATTGAAATAAGGTTGGAAGTTAAATGAGACACAATGAATTTCTTGTATAAGTAATAAGAAAACCATATTTATAAAATAATTTATGATTGTTTAAAGTACATTATAGTGTGTTTGTTCAAATAACATTTTAAGCATAAATGTGTTTTAATTATATATTTATATTCAAAATATAACGTCGTTTTGATTACAAAAGAAAAAAATACTAATAAACCAACATTCTTATTCACTGCCAATTGGTATCGTATAACAAAAGCCGTTCGAAAAACCACACCCTAACTTATTCTTACACGATTCCTTTAAAAAAAGTCCCAACTCTGCTGCCTCGCTGCGACCCTAGTACTTCCAGTGATAGTTACAACTTACAACTAATCAATTATATTTATATTTACGTAATAACAATACACAATTAGCTATAAATATTTATTTATACGTTTACTATCAAACTTTTTTTCTTCTTTGCTCGTGGTATCGCGCGACGCGAGTGTTAAAACCGCAATTTTTCAATATTCTGATGCACCGTTTCATATTAATTACATAGTCCAGTGCCACTTTACATTAATTTAAACATAAGGTTGACTTTTAAATCTTAATTTAGGAGATCGTATACTGTTTCAAATATTACAAAATGTTTTGTTCTATGTACATAGTTATCTCCTTTATCACGTGCGGCGGGCGGCGAGCCGGCCAGCGCGCGCGCCCTCGTGGTGTCACTGTTATTCATATCTGCAAAGAAAGAGAACATTTAGTAGCTTGTTGACTATGGTATGATAATTTCTGCAAGGTGGTGTGGTATTTTTCTCTGACTATGCTATGGCCATTTCCGTAAAGTGGTGTGGTATTTTGCTCTGACTATGGTATGGCCATTTCCGTATAGTGGTATGATATTTTGCTCTGACTATGGGTATGGCCATTTCTGTAAAGTGAAGTTGTATTTTGCTCTGACTATGGTATGGTCATTTCTGTAAAGTGGAGTGGTATTTTTCTCCGAGCATGGAAAATGACTATAGTCATTTCTGTATAGTGGAGTGGTATTTCTCGTGTCTCACTCTGTATAGTGGAGTGGTATTTTTCGTGTCTCACTCTGTATAGTGGAGAGGTATTTCTCTGTATAGTGACAATATTCTTTGGCACTTGTCCCACCGCTGACGATGAACGACATGCGAGTAGAGCTAGAAACTAGAAACAAGTCGGCGAGTAGCGGGAAGCGACTGCGTGGTTCTAATAGTTTTGTCGCTGGGTTATAAGCGACCTATAGTTAGTCGCTTCATCGCCAGCGGACAACTGCCTATCTCGACTTTTCATTGTGATACTACCAAGTTTACAAATAGCAAATACGAATAAAGATGTAAAGAGCAAGCATTAATGGCTAGTAAAATTAGGGGATTGGATCAGGGTAGGCAACCGTGCCAGTTATATTTTTGGTATCGCAAGCGTCTATTGGCTATGGCGGCCGCTTAACATCGGGCGGGCCTTATAGCATATCTATACTAATATTATAAAGCTGCAGAGTTTGTTTGTTTGAACGCGCTAATCTCTGGAACTACTGGTCCGATTTGAATGATTCTTTCAGTCTTGGGTAGTCCATTTATCGAGGAAGGCTATAGGCTATTTTTTTTTCAAAATTAGGAATCCGTAATAAAATTGCTATTTTGTAACACAAGGTGTAAAATCGAAAACATATTTTTGCGCGCGCTGCAAAAATGATTGACAATAGAACAAAGTGATGTACTACGGGTTTGTAGATCCTATTAAGACCTACAAAAAAGTCCGTAAGAACATATATCTAGCTATCATGGTTTAATCACAATAACCGATTTTGTGTTCAAAATAATTATTAAATCGTCTGAAGAAAAAAAAAACTACGTTAAATATGTATCGTAATATTAATCTTTATAGAAATTAAGCATTTTGTTATCAAGAGTATTTATGTAGAAGTAAAATACTTTTTGTTTCATCTCAATCAGATATTTCGTTTAAAAGTTATCACGTGTGTAAGATGTTATGAGTCGGTACCAATTAATGAGTTATGGGCCATCGAGTTTTTTATCAACTTAAAATCCTGTAATAATCTTTTTCGAAATATATTTGTTGATTATTGTAAACACGGGTGAAACCGCGGGGCACAGCTAGTAATAAAATAAAACTCAATAACAAAATGTCAATACTCACATTTACAAATGTGCAGGCTGCATTAGATATGATGTCCGTAGTAGTCCGCCGGGTAGTGCGCGTACCCCTGGTGGAAGGCGGGGTCGGTGGGAGGCCGGTGCATCATCTGCTGCCCGTCCATCATGTAGCCCATGGTGGCCTCGGGGCTGTACGCGCCGCTGGGGCCCGCGTGCGGGAATACTGCGGGGTAGAACACTGCGCGGTTAATTAGGCGGGCTGTTGGTGCGTCAGTTGGAGGCAAATGATCTTTCTAGCATCAGGACAGGTAATCTTGGTACATCATGTAGCCCATAGTGGACTTGGGACTGTACGCGACACTGGGTAGAACACTGCGCGGTTAATTAGGCGAACTGATGTCGACCCAGTAGGCAGCAAATGATCTATCTATTATTAGGACAGGTAACAATGGACCATCATGTAGCCCATGGTGGACTCGGACTGTACGCGTCATTGAGTAGAACACTGCGCAGTTAATTAGGCGGGCTGTTTGTGCGCCAGTTGGCGGCAAATTATCTATCTAACATCAGGACAGGTAATCTTGGTACATCATGTAGCCCATGGTGGGCTCGGGACTGTACGCGTCACTGGGTAGAACACTGCGCGGTTAATTTGGCGAGTTGATGTCGACCCAGTAGGCAGCAAATGATCTATCTATCTATTATTAGGACAGGTAACAATGAACCATCATGTAGCCTATGGTGGCCTCGGAGCTATACGCGCCGCTGGGGCCCGCGTCCGGGAATACTGCGGAGTAAAACACTGCGCGGTTAATTAGGCGGGCTGTTGGTGCACCAGTTGGCGGCAAATGATCTTTCTAACATCAGGACAGGTAATCTTGGTACATCATGTAGCCCATAGTGGACTTGGGACTGTACGCGACACTGGGTAGAACACTGCGCGTTTAATTAGCCGAGCTGATGTCGACCCGTTAGGCAGCAAATGATCTATCTATTATCAGAGAAGGTAACAATGAACCATCATGCAGCCCATGGTGGCCTACGGACTGTACGCGCTACTGGATAGAACACTGCGTGGTTAGAATTCTGCATGGTTAATAAAGCGAGTTGTTGGCACCCCAGTAGGCAGCAAATGATTTATCTAACATTAAGACAAGTAATCATGGTCTATCATGTAGCCCATGGTGGCCTCCGGGCTGTACGCGCTGCTGGGGCCCGCATGCAGGAATACTGTGGGGTAGAACACTGCACAGTTAGTAGGCAGGCTGTCGACGCTCCCGTTGGCGGCAAATGATGGCAAATTTTAATTCTGACAGTTTCTGGTCGGTAGAAAACGTAGAAGGTATAAGGGTAAGTCTCCATTCCAGTGGATGGACATGGTTAAGGAAACCATGTATGACAACTTGCAGGCGTCCATCCGCCGTGCAGAACACAGAACGACCTGAAGACCGCTGGTAAAATGTGCTGTTCTAAAAGGTCACGACCCTCAGACATGAGAGAATGACGAAGAAAATGAAGATAAAAAATCAGCCTTCTTTCGAATCAGAACAGCTCAGCAAATGATAACACAATAACAGATCAGTCTACTTTCTGATCCGAACAGTTAATCATGATTTTAGATGATGAGTTACAGAAAAGATCGTGACTTTTAAGTGCTGAAAAGGTGAGAGATAGGTGCCTGTTGTAGGTTTCTATGCTGCAATGTTGGTTGTTAACTAGTGGCAGCCAGTTGTGTATGGAGGGTTGGAACCGGTAATAGTTGCAATAGATAGCAACATCATAGAGAGCCCATGCTCTACATGAGGAAACATTAAAAACACAACACATAGTAGACAATGTACATATGAGATATAGCATTATCCAAAGGCAGGGTAAGGTCTGTTAGAGTATTGTTTTTCAAACATCTTTAAGGTAACATTCACATAGGCAAGCAAGGAGCTAACAAAGTTATTTAAGCTGCTTGCTAGCTGTATAATGGGGTAGTATCTTACTAGCACTTTGCTAAGTACTTTGCAGCAGTACTCTGAACTCAGGGTACGATGGTTTTTAATATGTCTGGCAATCTTCTTTACGAAAGTAAATGTTACCTAATATTTCATGCAAATGGCATGTTCAAATCTTAATAAATTCAATAGTATAGGATTGGTAAACATTGTCATTTCTAACAAATAAATCGTTTGTAAGTTTTCACCCCTTCCGCTTAATGTGTGTAGTTGACTTCAGTTATGAAAATAGATCGGGAGCCATGAAAGCAAACCTGATACGCCTACCCATTGTCGCACGCACTAAAAGTTAGGAATTCGCTCAATTTTACCACAGAACTGTTATGGCTTCCGAATGCAATATTTCCCTCGGATTATCAATCGTAAAGTAATGGTGTTCGTCCATTATAGACGCCGATTTCCGGCTTCTCCCGGGCCTTTATGGTGGTACGCGCCATTGCGCCACGAGAGTTCGGGACAAACAGGCCAAACGCTAATGTCGCGAGGCCAGGATTACGTTCGAACTGTAGACAATACATTTTTCCTTTTCATACAATCGAAAGAAGTTTTATTGAGGTAAACAGCAAAACCACAATGCGCCTCCAAGTTTTATACTGTGCTACAAACTAGCCTACTCGTAGTTTTTTAGAACATGTTGATATTTTATTTAAGTAAAGTCTTATTTGAGATTAACGCTTTAGATTTCTTATGTGGTGCAATGATAAATGTTTATGATTATTTATATTTGCTCAGATTTTTTTGTGATCAATTTCCGTGATTGATCTACCTTTTTAATTTAAATTATTTCTTAAAAGTTGTTAGGTTGACCATTTCGTAATAAGAAATGTATAGAAAATGTAAAGCACTGCATTGCATCATTACGAGTATGATTCGATAATATAATCAATACATTATGCATGAAGGAATTTTAAGGATAATATAAGTTGTAGCGTGGGTAAATAAAAACAAGGTCTCGCGTTATTTTTTTGTGTCTGGAAAAGAAATCTTAGTTTTTGATCAGATGCCGGTCTATTGGAGCGTGTCTCCGGTGACCAGGAAACCAGGAAGCAATAAAGCTGCAGGGTGCAGCCCTCATACTAGGATCTGTGCTATGATTTATGCTCCTACATTGCAACTTGGCCTTGATATTATACACTTCGGTAAACAAAATCTCTATATTCTCGACCACCAGCGCGATATAACTTCAAGAAAATACTTTGCACCAGTGGAGCACATAAAACAGAGCGATCTCTAAATGTTCCCGGTGAGCAAACCGGCGGATGTGAGCGCCGCCAAGTTTGCCGACGACGGAAAATGGAAAAACCGGAGGGTGGAAGGATAGATGGAAAATTGTTTTGGCAATGGACTAAAGAAAATGGCCACCGCATTTCCTGCGGTCAAGCCAAAAGCCGCTTTTCCAATCACTATATTATTTGTCCGGCCGCGTTATGTATTCCTGGTGCGTAGCGCATCCCCTTGGCCGCTCGTTCCAGAATATATGGATGACTCAATCGATCGCTTTTTGTTCTCATTAATACTCCTCTTTTTTGCTGCTGTCCGCGTACGCTCGCTCGTTTCGTATTGTAACATAACGCAATCGTGTGTGTCGTCAGATATCCCTGTCAATGGTTCGGCATAGTGGGCCGTATATACTATTCGGATGGCCGGTGTTTCAGCTCGGAACGACGGCACCGGCTAATGAATTTATTATAAGGGCATAAATTGCTCTCTGATGCGACGCCATTACCGTGCCAGCCTGTAAATTACAATTCGTTCGAGCGCGGCCATCGTACGCTATTTCCGACCAATCGTTTATAGAGCTTTTCGCGAGGATTAAATCGTGTTGCTCTCATCAGTCGCGGCGCTCTATCCGGCGGCGGGTTTATTAAAAACGTGCAGACTGAATTAAACGGAACTTTTTCATGAGCCGTATTAAAGACAAACAAAAGGGAAAATATCTCTAATCCCAAGTAGGCGAGGGCCTGAACACATCCACACATCTAGATAAAGGTACTGGGCGAGCATACATCGGCGATAGTCGGCGGAGCTCGGAGGGGCGAGTGATGGATCGCCCGGGACGGGTCAACGAATTCGGACATTATTCTTTTTTACCCTTCTTGCGTTCCCGGCGTTCGCAAGAGTAAGCCCTTTTTCTGCGATGTCCTTTTTTTCCAGGGTGGAATTTTTGTTAGCGGGGCCCGAGGAGTTTTATGGACTGTGTGTTACAATTACCAAGTAAAAATAGAATTGGTCGTTTGTAATCCAATTCATAGTCTCGTCTTTCCTTTCTAGTGTGTTTTTTGTTTAAAATGCAGTCAGTTAGTTAAACGACGTAAGTAGATAGTGAGATAGGTGTACCAGGAGAGCATAATTTTGCAGCGGTCAGCGCTAAAAGCATCGGAAGACGGGCGGCCTCGCGGGACACGGCTCAGGTGCATGCGACCGCCTGCATACTGTATGAAGGCGGACTGCGGTCGGCAAACTCAATTTTCGACTTCAAAGTCGTTGGGACGTGTGCTTCGCATGCGGGACGTCTACTGATGCCTATTGATCGGGAATTATTGCCAGTTCCAATTGTACGGAGCCTGTTTATTATTTATTTTCGCTTACAAACGTGCCCACAATAGGTTAGTAATTTAATTCACATACTTTCACAAAGTAATAAATTTAGGAAGCATGTCTTCTTCTCGATTTCCGTATACGTAACGTCTACGAGCACATTTGGAATTGCAAATTTTTAATAGATGTATAAGAAAAATGTTACCTGCTCTATTTGACTGGTCTATCATTGGCTGCACTATCCTACGTCTCGCGTTGATAAACCTGAAACAATACAAACACACAAATTAAATAATTGAATTTATGAACAATGTTTAATTGGCGGAGTGCGAAATTATAATAACAGGCCCCTTTTCCATAGAGCGCGCAAATATCATGAAAATTACATGAGGTAATTAGAGTTAGGGTACCAGGAGCGCATAGGTAAATCAGAGGTGTGTACGCTTTTTGAAACAATTACTTGGGCAATATGTTGCGCGGTAGCTGAATTAGTGATGACTTTACAGCGATGCATCCCCAAATGAACTGTCAAAATGGATTCCGTCGGGGGCTGGCTGGAGGTACGATACACCTGCGATTGGTTTGTGATTCGATTAGCTTTTTCACCGTAATTGTTTCGTAATTTCGACGTTTTCTCCGCACATGTTGTCTAGTGAACCAATGTTGAAGCCGTTGCGTTCTTTGAAAAACACAATTTCACGTACGAAGTTAACGTAACGAGACTAATTAATGAGAGTATTAGTAAAAACGGCATTCCAATGTTGAAGTGTTGGGTATTATTAATACTGTCCAGAAAAAAATATGATAGAGTCTTTACCGCAGTCGACACGTGAAACGCAATACATATCATCATGGATGCATTCTTCAAACGAACGTATTAATTAATGTTCATTAACAAAGCCGTCACGCTAGGATCAGGATAAAAACTTGAGAAAGGTATGCTGAGTATCGTTGTTTTTGTTTTCTATACTCGACAATGCAGATATGAGTAAATTCCTATTTTCACAATTTGATGCCTCATAGCTTAATAAAAAAGTTGTAGATATAAGGAAATGAAACAAGCAGAAAGTCGGCAAAACTGTACCAAACTTTTTTAAATAAAACTGCTTACAGTTTACTTAAAATATTGGCATGTTCTTAAAACAAAATTTGGCTCTACTGGCATGAAACACGACATTTAAAATTAGAAGTATTCTCTAAAATTCATTCAAACGGAAAGGGAGATTCGAAATTGGAACACACAAGAGAACTATCCATAGCAGGGGACCGAGTAATTACTTGGCGTCCGATGTGTCTAATGTATTGTTAATATCTAGATTAGTTCATTAACTCTTCATCCGCTGGGCCCCGCGACCCCAGGGGTCTCCTGACCCCGGGAGGGTAAAAACGGGGAGTTTTACGACGCACGCGGGGCATCCGCTAAATCGCGGCTTGTATTAAATTTGACAGTGCTTATTGTTATTACGCTATTTGTATAATTAAGGGAGATTAGCGGCGATGCTCAGTTGTTGTAATTGCGCAAGGATTTTGTCTTTGCATTTTCTTTTAGGATTCGTCGTTCTAAATTTAAAAGTATTTTTTTAATAAGCAGTTTTGTTTTTATTTGAATACATACTTTTTTATCTGTTTTGTGAATATTCAATACAGAATGTCATTTTAAAGTTCTACTGATATAATTTGACATAAAATTAAAGTAAGTGATGTATAAATTTAAAATAATTTTACATAAATATGTATGAAGAAATAGATCACAACACCTTACGTTGAATGTATATTAAATTAATTCATATACTAATTAATGGACATATTCACATGCAAAATGGACAGCTAATCGACAAATACCAAATTTTATGTTACTATTTTATTTTGATAAATAGCATATTTATCCATTAGCATTATTTTTTTTATTTAGAAGCTTTCTGCGATTTAGCAAGTGTTAATTTCATATTTCAACGGTCAAAATTTGTAAGAGATGTTGATATCATTAAGAGAAATGGACCCCAAACATAATCAAAGGGACACCATGTTGCTGCCCGATATTACATTTTAAACATTAACAAAACATTAATTTAAAAATATTATTAATATACGTACTACAATCAGCAAAAAGTCCAGAGCACAAAAAGCACACAATTTTCTTCAACTGATTTTAAACCTTAATAAGTTTAAAATTGAATTTAAAATAAATCGAGATACGTCACTTTTTATGATAGCCTCAGAATGTGTTGTTGACAGTCCCTATATATAACGAAAGGCGAGTGTGAAATTTCCATTTGTACAAAATTGTTATTGTACATAGGACGACACGCGATAAAGGGTGCTCGTAAATCATGAAGAGAGATTTGGATTTGTTAATTTGCCTCGAGCGAAGGGTGTCGGGCGAAGCTGGTCGCTGCCGGGCAATGTGAGCTGTGCCCCGGAGGTCCGCGGCCAATGTGCGTAGTGTTCGATAGAAACGCACGTGCATTTTTGATTAATGTTGGCGACAATTGTCATTGTGATGCAACATAATCAAGGGGTCAAACTAAACATCAGTCTCTCCTTTTCATTCTGTATAGAGAATGACAAGGATACACTATTATAAAATTTAATTTTAAGTTTAGAGAAGTATACCAGAGTGGAAACCTTAGTTTTTTTTTTAAATTTTACTAAAGATATTTTAATTAGATCAACTTGTCTCTAGAATAGTACTAGTAACATTCGTTGACTTTCGTGAATGGGCTAAATGGTATTGCCAGTATCATTTTTTTCTTTATTGAGTAGTATTGGACAATAACATGCTAAATGCTCATTGAGGCGTCATCAAACTAATTTCAACGTGGGATGATTAGAATAGAATAGAATATAATTTTATTAACCTCATATTACAGATACAAATTTAAAAAAACTCAGGGCTAACCAGGACCCTGCCTCAGCATTAGCTGATGCGACATTGTGTCGCACCGCAGCGCTGTTATTCTGGCAGGGCCTGTTTAGTGACACAAAAAAAAGACATGTAAAAAAATTTTATTACTTGAAAGGATGTATGGACTTAACATCCTTTGCTCATTCTTATGGGTCTCTGATTTTACTGCTATCTTTTAAAGTGAAACTTCTTTTCCTACGGGGTGTAAATGGAAAAATCCTATGGAAAAGATGAAACGGAAATGCGGCACTATACATAATGTATACCAAAATCTAATCTAAAAAACACCTGCATAAATGGTTACTATCACATACATTTTATAATTTAAAAGAGTTTTATGAAATGAAACTGACATAGAACTGTATCATTTACTTTTAAGATAGGTGGAAATTTTGTAATTTTTGCATGCTCTTAAACAAATTGTAGCTAAGACCATATTTATTGTAACACCTTTAGAAAAGACTAAAGACATTAACTCTTATCTATTAGACAAGTCCGTCCGTCCTTCTGTCTGTGGTGCTGTTTCAGTGGCCAAGCCGTAAGAGATAGATAAAGAGAATATTTAAGTTATAAGTTAAGAATAGTCTGATAAGACTACAAACCGGATTTGAGTAACGTAGCACTTCCGGTTTTCGAGAAATCACGAATTTCAAACGAAACCACACAAAATCTCCGAAGTTCTTAATTAATTAAATACATTTTTTTTATATCAGGTTTTGGTGAACATTTGGTTCACTGGTTTGCTAGTTATTATTAAAAGGAGTTTCACTACAGATATTGTTTAGTCCGTGCACACATTTCTTTTTACAATACAATAGGGTATTTGACAAGTTTTAGAAAACGATCTCATGTTATTTGACTAATATTCATCATTTTGTTGTGTTTTTCGGTAAAAATAACCAAATCAAGAACACCATTTTCAAGTTGCCGCGAAAACACTTATCTGGACAATATTGGTGGAGCCTTGGGTTTGGAGTTTTGGGTCACGTGACAATAGATAAGAAAACTATTATCTCTTTCGTGGGTTTTTAGTAAAATTACGAATATTTTTTTTGTAAAAATAGTAAAAACCCCTGCCAGTATTCATTCTAAACACAGATGCTAACAATTGGCACTTTATTTTTAATACTGTCAAATACCCTATTATTGTTGGGTTCATTTTTAAAGTTTAGCGTTTTCATGAATCGTGTAGTTAAGTGAGAGTCTAGTTATGATATGTAGTTGAATAATGGAATATATGACCGATAGAGTAGAGTACTATAACTATAAGTTGAAGAATAAAAGACGCGTTAATTGCGAAGAGGCAGATTTTTTCAATATTTTTCATTTGCCAAATATCCTTTTCTGGGAACTCATCGTGATTGCCTTGTAGCGAAGTAATCAAATTTCATCATCATCATCACCCTATTAATGTCTCCACTGCTGGGGCACAGGCCACCAAGCGGGTCCAGTGCGGACTGGTGGGTGCTAACGACTGCAGATGCAGCCAGGACCAACGGCTTAACGTGCCTTCCGAAGCACGGAGGAACTCGAGATAGTAAATTTTTGGTCACCCATCCAATGACCGACCACTGCGAAAGTTACTTAACTTCAACGATTGCAGCCGAACGCTTTCATCACTTGCGCCATCGAGCT